AGATGACCCTCTTTTCCACATAGATAACAACCCGAACCGAGTCGTTTCTCGGGGCAATCCCTAGTAACATGATTGCCTCGACAGATACCACAGACTCCAGGTCGACGAATCCATGGTCGACGAATTCATGGTCGACGACTTTGAGAGCTCTGTAACTGCTTCTCGATACCTTGTACCTTATCGGTGAGCTGTTGCAATAGATTGTCTGCCGGAGAAGTAGAAGTCGCCACTGCTGCTAGAACCTTCTGCAACTTGGCATCGACTTGTTGTACAGCAGGGCTCGAAGCCGAAGTCAGGTCAGTAGCCGGGGCGTAGTCGCTGATGATGTCAACCATTTCCTCAATGCGGGTAGGCTGAAGATGTCTCAGCTCCGCCTTCGCTGAAGCTAGAGCCAAGGCGATCAACTTGTGGGGGATCATCTGGTCGTGGAAAGCGTTCGAGAGCTTCTTAATAAGAAGTTAACTGATGATAAGAAGTTCTTATCATCAGTTAACTTCTTATTGTATTCGGTCAACATACGTCGAGCACGTGCCAGAAACGTACCGAAGTTAGTACGAGGAGCCCATCGAAGATCATGAAAGTTGTCCAAGAGAGCATCCGCTGGACGACGAGCCAGCATCTGCAGCATGATCCGACCGTCCTCCTCGAAAATCTGCTTAGGGGCGTACTGATTCCACATCTCGTAGACCTCATCGGTAAGGTACATTCCTAAGCGAGCAGCCTTCGTAGACGAAATTCAGCCGGCAGCATTAGCAGTGTTCTCATAGCGTCTCAGCCATGTAGCAAAGTCGGTGTACCATTGTATCGTTCTGGCATTTGCAGGTTAACACGAAGCTCCTCCTTGTGGCCACGGTCGATAACTGGAGCCTGAGGGCGTACAGAACCAGCCTCAGCCCAAGTTGACAAGGCATCAAAGAGGTCGTTGTAGTCTCTGGCATGATCAACGGCCAGCCGTATGTGATACTGAGTAGCATCTTCGTCCATACCAGCAGCGGGTAGCATCTGCTCTTGCTTGCTCTTCATGAGCGACAGATCTTTCTT